CGGCCCCCTCCGAGGCGCGTGAGCTCCGAGGGCTCCAGGGAGCGGGAATCCAAGTCCGGGGCTTGCTGGCGGTCTCCGTGGAATCCCTCCCGTCGGCTCCGACGGGCGGTCCCAGAACAGAGCCGCCTTCGCTGATTTTCCACTTCCAGGAGCCGCGTGGGCTCCCTTCCACCTGCTGGGGAAGTAAAGGGATCGCCAAGTGCGTCCAGGGATCGTCCAGCTGCCTCATCCCACAGGTGGGAAAACCGAAGTCCAGGACGCAGAGCGAAACGAGGGCTTCCCGACGCCCCCGGAGAGCCCGCGGAAGAGCCCGAGGCCGGACCCGTGCGAGAGCCGCGGGGAATCAGGCAGGAAAGGACCCCAGTTACCCAACCCCCTCAAGGGGGCCAGCCCTCATGGAGCCGTGGAAGGTCCAGTTTAAGGGTACAAGAGAGCCTCCAGGCCCCCTCGGGACTCCAGGTGCAAACCTGCAGAAGTCAGCCCCAACCCTGACCCCCAGTGGGGGGCCGCAGGGGCAGTTCCTCCGTGGCTCCCCAGCCAGCGCTCGGCGACCTGGCCGCAGCCGGCCGGATCCCTATGGCCCCGGGGCGTGCAGCCCCAGCCAGGCGGAGGGGAACAGGGGCCTCAGCCCGGGCTGGATAAAGGGGCGCAGACAGGGGAAGGGAAGCGGGGGTCTGGGCTCCGAGTCCCGGCTCGGTCTCTAGCTGCATCACCTTGGGCAAGTCACCACACATCCTTGCGCCCGTTCCTCCGTAATTTGGAAACGATCGTTCCCGACCTGTCTATACCTCGGGGTAGTTGTGAGTTTCCAAAGGGGGCTTTTGGTAGCAAATACTGTTTCCAGCCCCTGGCACCCTAGGCTACGCACGTTACCAGAGTGGCCTGGACGCCCGTCGCTGGAGCCTTCCTTCTGCCGGCTGCCACCCAGCGTAAAGCCACCCGGGCGGGATGCGCACTCGGCTCTAAACCCGGGCCCCCGCCGGCCGCCGACGGGAGCGTTGGAATCCCAACCGCGAGGCGAGTCTGCTGGCCTTTGTCCAAATGCAGCTACTGCGGCCAGTGCTGCCAATGCCTGGAGCTCGGACACTGCGGGCAGCGCACGTGCGACCCCGCTTCCCACCCGGCCAAGCTACGCCGCCTCCGGCCAGGAGGGGCCACAAGGCTCCCTGGGTTTGGGAGCGGAACGCACCCAGCGGGGCCGGAAACTAAACGGAATAACGTAGGTTTGTTTAACACTGAACACCGGCTCTCCCACAAGCCCGCCGCTCGCTTCGGAAACCGTCCCATGGAGAGGGGAGCCTTTATTCCTGAGAGCTGTTAAACACGCGGCCCTCCCGCGGCGGTCCCCAGAGCCCGCGGGATCGGAAGAGGTGCGCGGTCTCGGGCGCCGCGCAGACCCCGGGGCGCTCCAAGCCCCGGTGGCCACAGGGCGTATTTCGAAGAGTCAGCGCTTCCCCGTAACCCTACTGGGCGTTTCAGAGGCTCTAGGAAAAGGTCCCCCACTGCCACTTCTCCCAACGACCTGGCGACTGGAACTGGTGCCAGCCAACGTCTGGGCTCCGGCAGGAGCGCGAGCCCGACGCGCTAGAGGTAATTCTCAGAACCTCGGGCCCGCCCCTTTCTGGACGGTGCCTCTGGCCCCTGAGCAAAGCTGGTGCGCGGGGGGCGTGACCGGGGGCCGGGTCCCAGTGCTCGGGCCTGA